ACATCATCACTTGATAAGATACCAGAGCTGTTGAAACAAAATGGCTATTTTTGTAGTGATTTTATAACATATTTCTGTTATAATTTTAAATAAATAATTAAAAATAATATATATATATATATAAAAAAAAATAAATATAATATATATATATATAAATAAATAAATATAATATATATATATATATATATATATATATATATATATATATATAATTTCTAAGAAATTAATGGTTTTTATTTATAATTGGACATTATTTCCTATTACTATAAATATATTTATAGGATACACTTATTTGAGTAGACACCTTTATTTTTTAAACAGTGTAATTATTGTTTACTAGCCTGGGTTTTGAGAGTCTTTAATAAAGAAAGTATACCCCTCGTCAGGGTACAAACTTGTATCCTGTATCTCTCTTATGTATCTTAACAAGAGGTGCTTTCAATCAGAAGGCTAACTGAACCTTGTTTCACCATGAAAGTCCTTTGTTATTGAATGGTTTAAGAGCATGTTAGGCTATATTGGTGGTTTCACCTACATTAGGTGGATGTACAGTGCTGTTCGATAAAAGTGACTCACCTGATTTTTTTTTACTAAAAATATTTTTTGTCTATTGTTTTTGGGGTTAAAATAATTTTTAATCTTACTAATATAAAGACCCCTTCCCGACCACCTAGGAAAAAAGTTTATTCATCCTAAAGTATTCTACTGATAATTATAAATTATGATATAAATGAGATTCAGGAAAAAACTCTGTGTTAAAAAAGTGACTCAGATATTGCGTTCTAATGATTAAACTGGTAAACTTAAAGAACTTTTGACAAAATATTGAAAACTATTTTACAATACACTCAGAACAATATTCTAGAGAATTCTAGAACAGCTTAAATTAAATCTAGAGTATTCCAGAATATTCCAGAAAGACTCATACAGTATAAAAACAGCTTGAAATAGCCACTCAAGTCACTAAACAGATGAAACGGTACAAACATGCATCAGAACCACCTAAGGCATCTATTATTGCCCTCTCAAAAGCAGGCAAGTCTATGAGAGAAATTACTATAACCTCACAGTCAACTGTCTCTTGAGTGCTTAGGGCACATAATGATGTCACTCCTGCTCCAAGGAAGGAAACAAGGGGATGAAAGGAAAAGATTGATGATAGAACTGGCAGAGTAATCAAGAGAGAAATTGCAAAGAATAGGACTATAACTAGCCAAGAAATTGCAGCCAGTCTAAGTGAAGAGCAAGGTGTTAGTCTTGCCTCTTCAACAGTCTGTCAGAACAAGGTTACAAATCTTGTTAGAACAAAGCTATAAATCTTGTACGCGAAGGTTTAAGCCACTAATAAGCAAAGCCAACAAAGCCAAGAGACTTGAATGGGCTTGCAATTACAAAAATTTCACCGGAGAAGACTGGAAGAATGTTCTCTTCTCCGATGAAACGAAAGTTGAGCTAAATTCAAAGGATAAATATATATATATATATATATATGTGTGTGTGTGTGTGTGTGTGTGTGTGTGTGTGTGAGAGAAAATATATAGAAAATAGGAAAGGACTTGTTAGGTAAATAATCCAAAGTTCTTTAGTATTTTTGTTATTATTTTTAAAAAAACAGTGCTCGATACAAAAGTAGAGCTTAAATATAATTATTTATTTAAAAATATGATTCAATCTCTACATAAGAGTTCTCGTGTTTCAAAACAAGAGCTGAAAACTTCAATATAATTATTTGAATTAAATTGAATTAAAGTACCAAGCTCTGTTCCATCTTAAAGCGAAATTTTTGGAATAACTAATTCTTGAAATTTACGTGTTTTTTTAAGCATATTCGTTATTAAAATTAAAATTACTATGGAATCATATTTTTAAATAAATAAATAAATTATATATATATATATATATATATATATATATATATATATATATATAAAATTAAAATTCCCTTCCTTTCCTGCAATATGACGCTGGTTTAGAGGTAAGAGATCTGTCAAATAAGTTAGATTTTGATTCCGGCTTGAAGCAATTGGATGTCTAGCCACACAGAGGAGCTGCAATACAGCAAAACAGACTGTCTGTCGATGATTATATATATGTTCCCAGAAATCCGGTTAAGTTCTCTAGGAAAAAAAGTGGCTCCTACTACTATTAATCATTACTCTTCAGGTAAAATTCTATGAGCTGCCAGTGTGTTTCGTATAGAGAAAAACGTTAAAATTCCCTCCCTTTCCTGCCATGTGACAATAGCCTACAGACCAAATTAGTTGGGTTTTGATCCTGGCTTGAAGCAATCAGACGTTTAACCACACTGGGGAGCTGTGATACAGCGAAACAGTCTGTGGATGTCTATATATCTATATATATTTGTATAAAACGTAAATTAGTAAAGTTAATGATATAAAATGGCGAAATCCCTTTGCTAATAAAATTTTAAAGATGCATTAACCTACTAATCACTTGATGAATGTTATGATCCTAGTTTTTTAAAATTATAAGCTGTTTAAGTCTTTCTTAAATACGCAAGTACTTTCAACTGTACATTCAGTCATCTTCAGGAGTATTTAAGAAAGACCTTATATAATATATATCAAATATGTGGTGCAGTAAATTTATAATATATATATATATATATATATATATATATATATATACATATTATAAATTTACTAATTAAAAATATGGTTCCATCACTACACAGGAATTACCATGTTTCAAAAACAGAAGCTAAATACTTCAAATTCAATTATAGAATTAAATTAAAATCCCTAGTTCTGTTTCATTTTCAAAATTTGCTTGAAAATGAAACAGAACTAGGGATTTTAATTTAATTCTATAATTGAATTTGAAGTTTTTAGCTTCTGTTTTTGAAACATGGTAATTCCTGTGTAGTGATGGAACCATATTTTTTAATTAGTAAATTTATAATATTTATGCTCTGTAGATTTGCATTGACCACTGTTTTGTAAAAATAAAACTATTAATAAGAACACCGGATTATATATCTTAATGTTCCTTCTCTTTATTTTAATATATATATATATATATATATATATATATATATATATATATATATATATATATATATATATGTCTGTGAGGTTATGAACAGACACAAAGAGACAAGTAGATACCCAAAGAAACACACACAGACTCTAGCCTTGAGTGCCCTCTGAACCTTGTATTGTGTGAACTAACAGTAAGAAAAAGTTTCATAGACTAAAATACTACATTTTATAAATTTATGCCATGGTAGTTATCTTTGCTCATTAGTGAAAACTTTGGAAAATATCCAGTGTATGTGTTATTTAATACTTTATAGATTGTAAGGATTCAGATATTGTACCAAAATCTATATCATGGTAGTAGCCTTATAGATGAAAACACCTGCTTGTTCCATAATGTTAAGGCTATGAACAATACAAAAGAAATAAAAAATACATATGTAAAAATTTTTTTTTTGCTAACTTGTTAAATAAAATAAAAAATTGGATACCAACTATTGACACCATGATAATTTACATGAGAGTGGGATGAAAACCCTGACTTACAAAATTCTGTTGTTTGATAATTAGTTCATATTTTGGGAAGTGGGTCACGTTAAGAAACTTTCAGCACCCCCTCATGTATGAAAGATTTTATTTTTGTCTGGCAGGAGAATGGATCCTCAGTATTAATTTATTTTTTGTTGTTGCAAAATGGTCGTTTTTTTTTAATTAAATTTTACTGCAACTATCATAAATATCAGAACACTGGATTAAAAAGAGAGAAAAAAGAGAGAAGGGAGCAAAAAAAAACGAGGGGAAAAAGGAGAGTGAAAGAGAAAGAGAGGGGGAGAGAGACACGGAGAGAGAGAAAGAGAGAAGGAAGGAAGAGAAGGAGGGAGATGATGAGAAAGATGTAGAAACAAAGTTAAATACTACACAACAGTCATAGTCAATTCTAATAGCCACAAAAAAAGAGAAAAATACAAAATCAAAAAACCCAAAATCTTACTTACAAAAGGCATCAACTTTCATATTTAAAAATTAAAAAAATGAGGAAACAAATTACTTGAAATAGGTTGTTCAGAATAAAGTTTTAGTATACTCACTCACAATCATATAAATATTTATCAATAAATCTGATACAATGTAGCAAAACACTAAGGAAATTGCATAATGTGTCTATTGATAAGTAATAATACTTATGTAGGACTCAAAATCCATTTCCCTAAATTTAAAAATAGATTAATTCCTATCAGTAACCTTGACTTGTTAAGTAATATTTATATTATTTCATTCACCACTGATATTTTTATATGAGGTTGTGGTATGTTCAAGATTAATAGATAAATACTCAAACTACTTTAAAAGATGAATAGTCCACTTGGTAAAGTTAATCAAGAATACATTGTAAGACAATAAAAGAATATCAATAAAAAAATGATTTAATAAAAAGAAATATCAGAATAATGCAGAATATTTACTGGGAGCAAATCATCTGCATGAATAGAAAATGAATTGAATAAGTACACAAAAATAGAAAGGGGCATGAGACAAGGATGTATTATCTCCCTAGATTTATTTAATCTTTACAGAAAGTCAGTTCTAAGAAGTATAAGTTTATTTATTATTGGTGGGGGCAATCTTAACAGCTTAAGATATGCAGATGACACAATGTTGATGACATATACTGAAAGAAGACTACAGGGCCTCATAGGAAAGGTAGTAAAGTAAAGCATGAAGAAAGGACTAACTATGAATTTTAAGAAGATGAAATGTATGATACTTTGTAAGATGAATAGCCCAGGATGTGAGCTATGAATCAAAATCATGTGCATACAGAAATTTAAATATCTAGGAAGTGTTTTAAGAGATGATGGGAAATGAAATCCAGAAATCCAGAAATCCAGAGGCACATTTGGATAACAAAGATGCCTTTTCAAAACTTAAACAAAGAATAAGAATTGGAACTCCTATTAACAATTCTGAGCTATTATCCATTACACTAACTGTCAATCCAAGATTACAGCTCCTAGTATTCCCAAGTGGTCACCCATCAAAGTACTGACCAGGCTAAATGTTGCTTAACTTTGGTGATCTTACTGGAATCAGTGTTTCAGTGTGATGTTGCTGTAAGCCTGATTTGTAATGGATATGTTCCAACATGTAATGTACATAAATACAATGTTGTGTTCCTACATGTGAGTACATATACAATTATACAATCCTACATGGATATATAACTAAAACACTGTTTCCACATGTAGGCAAGTACAATACTGCATTCTCCCATGTAAGTGCCACAGCTGAGTGTATGTACAAAATATTTCCACATGTAGTTACAAGTGGAGCAATGTGTTTTCACATGTGAGGAACAAGTTCAATCTTATTTTCCTACATGTCAAGACAAGTACAATGTGATATCATTACATGTGAATGTAAGTGCAATGGTATGTTTCCACATGTGGGCATAAGTATATCATTATGTTCCCTCACATGTAAAAAGTCCAGCACTGTGTTCTGACATATAAGTACAAGTATAGCGTTAAGCTCCCATATGTGACCCACATAAGTACAATTCTTTATAAATGCAATACGTAGCTGCAATAAGAAACATGTGGCATATACAATTAAATTTGACCTTTTGTCTTTTAGTTTTATCTGCAGCTTTTCTTTCAGGATATAACAAACATTTTTTTTAGCCATTTTATATCTAATTTCCATGAAGTTTTTATATTGATGTTTCATTAGTTATAAACCTAAAAGCATAGAGACACACAAGACATAATGTGTGTTTTGATTTTATCTCCTTAAAGGCAAATAACTGAATGATCTAAGGCAGTTATGAATTTTAGAAAAAGTTTAAAATAAATGGTAACCTGTAATGATAAATTTTATTATTCTACAATAGAAAAACCTGGTAGATGAAAAAGAAAAAGAAAAAGAAATACTACTTTCATATTTGTGATTGTGGCATTTTTAGCTTCCATATATAATTGATAAATTTGGAATTCAATTTAATGTGAAGGTAGAAATATCAGATCTAAGAAGGAAATCCAATAAGTTAATTAAGAAACCAAGACTGATTTTTTTATAATGAAAAAATACAATAAAACATTGTTTTGCAGTAACAATTTGATAAAATACAATTGTTTATGATTTACAGTGTCATAAAGAATAAAGAGAAAAATAACAAAATTCCTCAGTTTTAAAATTAGTTTTACATTATAGTTAAAAAAGAAAACAAATCATCAGTAAAAACTTGTTAATGGAATTATTTCTTTTGGGATTACAGTCATTATGGAAATCTAGATTACTTTTAATATAATTACTGCATCTTTGGTGTCAGTGCAATCATGAATATAGCTACTTTTGCATATCAAAAAACACTAGTTATTAGTTAAGTTTTTATACATAATTTTCAGTCATAACTTGATAAATATCTCTCTATTCCTGTATATGTATAATTTAGAATATCTTCTATCAAAATGTGATACATAATTTGGTCTAATTTGACACACTCTATCTTTCCAGATGTATTGTTTAGGGTGTCTTTTTATCAAATGTTATGCATATGAAATCAAAATTACAAGTATGTATGGTAACATGTATAGATAAATATTTATTTTATATATATATATATATATATATATATATATATATATATATATATATACATATGTAAAATGTGTATGTATATAAATATATATATATATGTATAAATATAAAAGTGAACATTGAAATCAACACTTAGAGACAACAGGCTGTTTCATGCTAGACACAATCGTCAGGCCTCTAAGTGTTGATTTCAATGTTCACTTTTATATTTACATACACTCTATCTCTGATATTGAACACTTCATCCCATAAACATAGCACACCTTAAGAGTATATTTCTTCATATATATATATATATATATAAATACTTAGAGGCGACAGACTGTTTCATGCTAGACGCAATCGTCAGGCCAGCTGCGTCTAGCATGAAACAGCCTGTCACCTCTAAGTGTTGACTTCAATGTTCACTTTTATATTTACACACACTCTATCTCTGATATTGAGCACTTTATCCTATAAATATAGCACACCTTAAGAGTATATTTCTTCATATATATATATATATATATATATATATATATATATATATATATATATGCAATTTTTATGTATATTATATATGCAACCATAAATAAATCCAAAATTTAAAAATTAATCAGTTTGTCTGCAAATAGTGTAATACCAGGGTCACAAACTCACATCAATCCAACTACATATATAAATATAATGCATAATAATATATGCTTAATCCATTTTATTTACACACACACACATATATACAGGGTGTGCATAAAGTTTGTGTGCACTTTAAAAAAATTATAACTTTATTTGTATTTGTGATAGAAATAATTTGTAAAAAGGATTAGAAAGAAGTAAATTTATATTTTTTAAGGTTTTATTGAAATTTTATTTAAGTTTCCACATGTCCTCCATTATTAGCAATACAAAGGGTAATACGATTTTGCAGTTCACGGAAAACATTTGCCAACTGATTTACAATAATGCCTGAAATCACATTAGTTATTTTAGCTATACTTAAAACTAGGTACATTAAACTTTATAACATTTTTTACAGATTATTTCTATCGGAAATACAAATAAAGTTATAAATTTTTTAAAGTGCACATGAACTTTATGGCCACCCTGTATATGATAAGGTGAAGAACAAATAGGAAATATTTATCAATTTAACATGTCAACTTCTATTAAAGATTTATCTGAGAATGAGATATGGAGAAAAAGTAGAAAGAAATTCTGATATTTTTAGTTTTGTGTTATTGAATTTTCATTGGTTAATCATGTTTCACATTCATTTAACTATTTTGAACGATGTTAGTATAATTTGTGGCACTCCAAATTCAAAGAGAGATGATGCATCCATCCAAAGTTTCAAGAAATTAATGGATTAAAGTTTACCTGAAAGACTGTAAATATTGCTATTTGTATGTAAGTGTATAATAATTCTATTTTGTCAATGTGGGAATCAGATGGTGTGTGTTTGTGTGTGTGTGTCCAGCAGACATTATGTTTGTTGGTTTTATGCATGTTCATTTGGGAATGTTTTTATGTACTTACCACTTGTTTTAGATAAATGTACATCAGATTCTTTAAGAATGGATTCAATAAATAAACATGCACAGACTTACACACACACATATCTCATTCTCTGCTAAAGCTTTAATAAAAGTGAAATATATTAAATTGATAAACATTTCATATTTGTGCCTATATTCTGTCAGATTCTGATCCATATTTGATCCCAGTTCATATATATATATATATATATATATATATATATATATATATATAGTTGAATTTAGTGTATTGAGCAGCAGATCATTATTTAAATATATATTATTAAATATAACAGACAATGAATGTCTATTATGTCTGATCATGAGCTGTTTTAATGTTTGAATGTTTGCTTTAATTTCTGGTGAAAACAAAGACAAAAATTGTCCAACATTTGGATATTTTTTTATTAAGTTGGTCCTAAGCTTTCGGCTCACATGAGCCATCCTCAGAGTGGTTATACAAACATGAAACAAAAAGATAGCCACCATCAAAGATTATATTTTGTTATTTTAACATAGAAAATTGCTATCATCGTTTAATGACACATGAGGGTCAAGCAACTCAGTTCCTTGGAACTAACAGCCAGGCAACCTGTAAATGTGATTTGATTATAGTGGTGAAGGTTTTGTGCAGAACCAACCACACTTTTTGAAGAGCCAAATGCAGAGATCTGGTGCACTATATGCCACAAGGTCCCCAAACAACCCTCCACAGATTTTGAATTCAGAGTTGTCCTTCTCCTAGATCAGTTGCCACCCAAGGCTATAGAACCCAGTCTATCATGCTATTAGCACATAAGTGAAGGTAATGGATTCAACTGGAATTTGAATCATATATATATATATATATATATATATATATATATATATGTTATTAATACTGTTTATTATAAACAGGGCATTTACTTAAATATTTGTGTCTATAAAATAATGTATAAACAAAATACACACACACACACACACACACACACATATATATATATATATATATATATATATATATATATATATATATTTAAGTTATGAAAAACTTGGTAATCCGTATGGGTAATCCCAAGGAGGATGAAATCCTGAGAACTCAATGTAAATCCAGACCTGGTGAAATAAATTATTATAATGGAACCTTAAAGTGGTCTGTTTTTCTTTAAAATATATATATATATATATATATATATATATATATATATAATTTTCTTTAATATATATATATATATATATATATATATATATATATATATCCAGGTAAAATGAGAACAAATGAAGTATAATTCTACTGTTCATCACATTTAACTTAAAAGAGGGCTCAATACAGAGTAGAGCTGAATATTATTTATTCTAATTATTTTTTTTTTTGTTTCTACTGAAAAAAAAAAAAAAAATTTGATGTTTATTTGCTTGTGAAAATTTGACATATTTTCAAAATGTGATTTTAAAACTTTTTCAGATTAGGTTGTTTTGAATCTATATAATAAAGATTTGTTTAAAAAATTGAAAAATAAAAAGATTAATGCCATTATCGTGTGAACAATTTTTATAACAATTTATTTTTGTTTTACAACTGGTTGACTTTTTTATTCTATCGCTAATCAAAAAGTAAGATTTTGAATTATATCCCTTGACAATGACCCTTTTCAGTGCTTCCAAAAATTATTAAAAGTTTTAACTAATATATAGTAGTCCACTGATATTAGACAAACCAGTTTACCATGGTACCCGGTGTACTGCAGGTGGATGGTGGACCCTAAGAATTTGCTCTCGTACCCTCAATATCGCTCACTTTTTTTAGAAATTCCACCCTATTTTACCAATTTCTGGGCCATCTTCTTCATGATAGAAAGAGCAAACAGTAATCATTAGATGGGGCCTAATTTGTTTTAATAATTACACCCCTTTTACACACTTGATTTTGATGATTAAACAGCCCAAATTTTGCAAAATTTTAACACTTTAGCCATTTCACACCTAATGTAATTGTATTGGTAATAATTA